TTTTATTCTTCTGAGCTTTCGGGCTCTTGCGGCGGTCCATCGTCAGAGATAAACCGTCAACGAAAAGCGAGCAGAATTTATAGGGGACAGGAACCAATCAACTGTTATGGGGGAAGGAGGCGAAGAGGAGGGGGGAGGGGAACTCATTAATCACCAGTTTCAGCCGTGCGTATATGCCTGCGAACAGCGATGTAGGCGGGCGCCAGCTCAGTGCACCGGTTGACTGAGTTGTCATCCGAAGCCCAGGCTTCAATTGGCCCTCGTCCGGTCTTGCCGTTGGTGCGAGTAATTATCCTTGCGGCTGCGAAGTTAACTTCGTGGCCCGTCTCATAGGTATGGGCAACCACTTGCGACAGTGCGTCACCCCGTCTGACAGCTAGTTTATGTTCGTGTATGCGCGAACCAAGCATTCGTCCTGTCTGTCCGGTATAATTTCGGGGACATTTTAGACATGGTATGCGATACACTACGCCCGACTGCTCACTGGGACTGAATTGGTCCTTTATTCTCATGATCCGGCTGCGCATGGTAGCCTTGGGTCGGTGCGCAATCCGACGCCTTTTCCCGCAGCAATGCTCGCGGTCGCTTCCGACACATCCTTGATATATGGCAGTGCATGCCATATCGTGGGGGTTGTTTCTGGTCGGTTCCTCGGAGGGCGGGCACGTCGGCATCGGTTCCGCATAAATTGGTTGCGGAGGTATCGGGCTTCCCGTGCTTTTACCTTTGGGTTACTGCAGTGAGTCTGGATTCTTTTGAACAGCGTTCTCACACAGCTTCGTTTGTGAACCACTGGATGGTTGCCGCGAAAGTTGAGAAATATGTGCAGGAAAACGTGAAACATAAGTAAATTTTCGCCAGATGTTTCCTCTTAGGCCTATATATAGCAACGAAATAGGGAGATATATTTAAAAAGGCAACTATCAATACCCGAAGGGCATTGGAATTAGAAAACCCACAACAAAAGAACTTTGTGTATGTCGTTATTTGAATGAAGTTGGTTAGTTTAATTTCTAGCATTTGAAACCTTTGTACAACATTCAGGACCTTTCAGCCTCATATCTGGTCATGCAAACTGCCTCTTTCTTCTTCCCTCCCGCTTACTGTAAGTAAAGGTGGCCTTGTGCGTGATGAACCCTTTCGGTGATGACGACGAGGACTTTGAGACATCCGCTATCCTTGACTACAACCTCGACGTCAGCTACCGTCTGGTTCTGCTAGAGGAGGCCTTCTTCCCCGATACGCTTCAGATCCCCACCTTCGAGATCCCGCCTATGAAGGGACACGAGAATGACAACCTGAAGGAATTCCTGGAACATGTCTCAGATGACCTCTTGGGCTCCAAAATCTCTGAGGAGAACAACGAGTGAGTGAAACCGCCGAGGGGTTGTGACTGACAGTAAAATGATAGCTTGCTGATTAAGGGTGAGCGCTTATCTCTCTAGCAGGGACAGTAATGAACCATGTCCTGGTGAATCTACTAGATCACAAGAAGAAAATGTGATCGTTGGGATTTGGAGTTTATGGGCCTGACGTTTTGAAATCTCGCTGCAACCCATCATCAGGTAAAGTTCAGCTGTTTTGGGGAAAATTAGCCCGCTATCGGCCATCGTCCTTTCGCAATCCCAGTGACATATCTAGATCAAATCGTGGGCTTTGTCGGCCACACAGCCATTCCTCCAATTGTATTTCTGTTTCGTCTTCTTCTATTCTTCCTTGAATAGGGTAGTTTTATCTTTTTCAATTCATATTTTGTCTACTTTTGCGGTGCTTAGTCTCCCTTCCTTTCTTTGCACCGTTGTTAGTACCCGCCTCCCTCTTTCTTCCTCCCTGATTTTTTTCATTAATTTTTGAGATTACTCATATCGTGCATAGTAGCATAGAGGTTGTCTTAAAATATTTGTTCCTACTTCATTTGCTCGAGCGCCGTGTAGGATTTCTTCAGCTGCCAAGTAAAATCTCTTCGGTTGCTGCCAGAACCGACACAGTCACTTTCTTTTTTTTTACTGAAACTAGCACTGTCTCTTATTAGCCTCAACTTTTACTTGCATCCATCAGGATAGATAATCTGGAGATCAAGCCCGGTTGCTGTGGAAGGCTTAGAAAAGATGGAAGGTTCTCCGTCCCGAAGAAGGATGACCCAGGACAACCAAACCGTAAGTCAACGTCAATTCCTCGTGAAATATTACCCTTTAGCATGTCACGAATTGAGGCAAAGGTCCGCATCCCAGGTACGTGTATAGATTGAGAAGAAGAAGAAGCTGTGTCGATCACCGGAATCATAGTTTT